GTAGCTTGTTACAACACTATCTCGCTCTGCTCGATAGTGTTGCTCGATAGTGTTGCTCGATAGTGGAGCAGTACTTTGCTTGCCTCTCCACTAAATTTGGATGCTACCAATTAATATCTTATTTTTTCTTGCTTGTATCAGTAACATATAACTCAAAATAACACTACACTGCTACTATAGCTCTCTACACCATAATACTACGATAGCTCTATACTACGAAAGTAGATTGCTCCACCAACCCGCACGCAACCTTGTCCCAGTGTTACTAATGTCGGTGATATTCAGTGCTGCTCCACTATCTCGCTCTGCTCGATAGTGTCGCTTTTCATATCAACTTTCGTAGTCTTTTTTTTTTTTTTTTTTTCATTTGAATTGATCTGGTTTGATTTAGTGTTGCTTAGTATTGTTCATTTTGTTTTTTCAGTTTAAATAACCGAAAATGCCCCGCAATTCGCACTTTATTTAACCGAAAAATACCCTGTATATAGTCCATCCTATTTTAAGCACCAAAAGTTTCTTTTTTTTTTTTTTTTATTATTATTTTTTTTTTTTTGCAATGTATCAGTAAGTAAGTAGTTAATATAAAAGCAATTGTAACGGCTCTAAAAAAAAGGTAGGTATAAGCAGGTATTTCAATTTTACCCAGTGAGATTTAATTGGTTAAATTATGTCGTTGTTTGAAGAAACTCCTCAGCATATTCAAGATACTATTGATCGGAGTCTACCATTGGACCCAAGAAAAGTTGCCAATTCTGTAGCTCTTCCAAATAGTCAAGAGGATGGTTTTTCATCAGTTTATAGAAACCAGTATTCTCCAGATAAGTTGATTACAGTGCCATATTCTGGACTAGACACTTCGTATGCTTTATTTGAAAACTCTGTGATAAATAACGCCGATAAAAACTGTTTAGGCCATCGAGTCAAAAAAGAGGATGGCACTTTTGGTCATTATGTTTGGCAGGACTATAGAACAATAAAGCAAAGAAGAAACAATTTGGGTTCGGGTATCTTCTTCATCTTGACTAATAATCCGTATAGATCAAGTACTCAAGTTCATGAAAGATTAAACTACGATTTAGAACCTGGTCTTGAGTCATTTATTTTGACCATTTTTTCGCATAATCGTCCAGAGTGGGCTCTTGCAGATTTGGCATGTAGTGCATACTCGATAACAAACACTGCATTGTATGACACTTTGGGACCTGACACTGGTAGATACATCTTGAGTGTAACCGAGTCACCCATAGTATTATGTTCGAAGGAAAAGATTAAGGTGTTGCTTGAGTTGAAAGAAAAGAATAAGGAAGAATTGGCGAACTTGATAGCCATTATTTCAATGGATGATTTAACTGAGGAGGACTCATATTTACAAAACTTGTGTCACTCTCAGAATATGATTCTTGTTGACTATAAACAAACGGAGAAATTGGGTGAAATCAATCCCTTACCTCCAAGGCCACCAACTCCGGATACAGCTCTCACTATAACATTTACCTCTGGTACTACTGGTGCTAATCCTAAAGGTGTTGTGTTACCTCATAAAAGTGCAGCTGCAAACGTTGCATTTATGTACTCAAACTTGCAAATGAGAAAAAATGCAGTCTTTTACTCGTTTTTACCATTGGCTCATATTTACGAACGTTCAAGTATTCTGTTTGCTTTAGCTACAGGAGCAGCTGTTGGATTCCCGCAGGGACCATCCCCATTGACATTATTGGAAGATGTCAAACATTTGCAACCTGACGTGTTGGCATTGGTACCAAGAGTTTACACTAAATTGGAAGCGGGCATTAAATCTCAAACTGTTAACAACGATGAAAAGCCAATGTTAAAAGCATTATTCACAAAGGCTATAGATAAAAAAATGGAATTACAAAGTCGAAAAGAAAATGAACATATAAATCCATCGCATATCTTGTATGATAGAGTTTTGAATTTGTTGAAGAAAAAAATCGGACTTGGTAATGTGACAACATTGACCACTGGGTCAGCACCAATCAGTCCTGAGACTATTAAGTTTTTGAAAGCAACATTAAATACAGGTTTTGCTCAAGGTTATGGTATGAGTGAAACATTTGCTGGCTGTATGATTAGTTCGCAATTTGAAGTAGAATCAGGTTCGTGTGGTCCAGTTTCAGTAACCACCGAATGTAGATTAAGAGATTTGCCAGAAATGGGATATACGTCAAAGGATGAAGGTGGTCCAAGAGGTGAGCTATTATTACGTGGCCCACAAGTTTTCACAGGATATTACAAGAACCCAGAAGAAACAGCCAAATCATTTGATAAAGATGGCTGGTTTTATACTGGTGATGTTGCACATATCAACCCAGCAAATGGTAATCGTATTTATATCATTGATCGTGTTAAGAATTTCTTTAAGTTAGCGCAAGGAGAATATGTTACACCCGAAAGGATTGAAAATACCTACCTATCGCAGTTTCCCTATATTACCCAATTGTTTGTTCATGGTGATTCAATACAAACATTTTTAGTTGGCGTTGTTGGATTAGATCCAGTGTCCATTTCCCAATACGTCAAATCCAAATACCATGAAACAATAACGGAACCTGAAGATATAGTTTGTTTCCTTAACGCTCCAAGACATAAACGACAATTGTTATTGGACATGAATGCTTCTGTCTCTGGCCAATTAGCAGGATTTGAAAAATTACACAATATCAAACTTGATATTGAGCCTTTAAGTGTGCAAAAGAACTTGATCACTCCAACTATGAAGATCAAAAGACCTATTTGTGCTCAATATTTTAGAAGTGATTTGGATAAATTATATCAAGAGGGTTCGATTATTAAAAATGAGAAATTTTAGATGCATTAAAGAGTATATATCGTTATATCCTCCTTCTCTTTTAATCCCTAATAGATTAAACTATCAAGCAGAGCGAGATAGTGGAGCAATACTAGCTGCCACAGACACTACGGAAATAGAGTAAGTAAGAAAGAAAAGAAAACCATCTGTTTCTAAAGATTAGTTTTTCTTCTAATTAGGTGCAAATTTTCAAACTTTTACTATTCCATGATGATGTTCTCTAATGTAAGGCTAATGGAGATTAGGGTCAATAACCTTTATATTTTCAACAAAATGTAGCTACAAAGTATTGCTCCACTATCGAACAACACTATCGAGCAGAGCGAGATAGTAGAGCAGCACTGACTAGTGTCTCTGCTTGATAGTGGAGCAGTACTGGCTAGTGTCTCTGCTTGATAATGGAGCAGCACTGGCTAGTGACACTATCGACACTATCTCCCTCTGCTTGATAGTGTCTCTTCTCGATAGCACCCCTCCACTATGCACAATATGTATCTGTGCTATTAAGTGGAGGGGATTACCCAAATATTAGTGTTTGAATATATAATAGAGTATATTAGTCTATATCATTATACTAATATTGCATCTGGCAATATCTATGTGATTTTGTTAAATCCGATACATCTGGGGAGCCAAATTCGTAAGCTTCTCCTGTGCCTATTCCGAGTTTTACCGACTAAACTCCAACCATTCAAGTCAAGTACTAGAATAAAAATAGAAATGTTAAAATCTTAAGCCGAGGAGGTACAGATCCCAAGCATATGGCTAGTGCTGAATGTGAGGGGAAAGATTAGAAAAGAACTTATCTATAAAATAAGTAAATGTGTCTGGCACATAACATCGTAACCATAACCCTTTGATATACATATATATATATAATTATCGGAGTTATTTGCAGTTATTAGAACAAAGAAATGAAAAAAATATATTTCCGCTTTCAGATTACGTAATAGTAGCCCGTAATATTACGCTCTACCTTAGGTAATCTTCTTTGCCAATATTATGTAATTTACAAAACCTTTTAAAACTGGGGTAAGGGGGAAGGGGGGGGAGGGGGTAGGAATTTTTCTTTCCCAAACTAACCCCCGCATCTCTCTACTTACTTACTTACCCAAAATGCTTTTTCTTTTTACCTTAGTTGGTTTAACTACTAAGTAAGCTGTCCAAAGCCACTATGGTAAATAACCAAGTAAAGCAAAACTACTCTGTAAACTACTCTGGCACTTTTTTCTTTTTAGCTAAAGTGTTAAACGTATGCGGCTCAAATTTAACGGTATATATATATACATATAGATATAGATATTTCGTAGTCAGATAATCTCTGGATTTTTCATTCGAGAGTAAGAGCAAGAGCAAGAGCAAGAGCGGCTATCAAAGACTGTAAAATCGGATTACTATGGCCGCCTTATTTCAAGAATCTCAACAAAGAGTACAGCAACTACTCAAGGAAAACCTACCACTTGCTCCTTCGCAAATTGCTCTGGCAGTCGAATTGCCCGGTTCTAAACAAGATGGATACTCGCCAGTATATCGTAACCAATATTGTCCAGAGAGGTTGGTTGAGAATTTACATCCGTCTTTAGACACTTTGTATTCCTTGTTTGAATCTAGCTTATTACTAAATGGTGATAAACCGGCTTTTGGAGTTCGTGAAAAGATTATTAACCCCGAGGATGGAACAGTGACATTTGGTAAGTACCAATGGCAAGATTATAATACGATAAGGCAAAGAAGAAATAACTTAGCTTCGGGTATTTTCTTTATCTTGAACAATAATCCATACAAAACCGATTCGTTGGTTCACCAAAGTATGCAATATAATTGTTTAAGGAAACCTCAGGATGAGTCATTTGTGTTGACTATATTTAGCCACAATCGTCCAGAGTGGGCCTTGTGCGACTTGGCTTCTATTGCATACTCGATAACAAATACTGCATTATATGACACTTTGGGGCCAAATACAAGTAAATATATCTTGAGCTTAACTGAATCGCCCATAGTAGTTTGTTCCAAAGAGAAGATCAAGTTATTAATTGAGTTGAAAAGAGATAATCGTGAGGAATTGGCTAACTTAATAACCATTGTATCAATGGATGATTTGGATTTAACCGGTAAGGATATGGAGTTACAATTGTTTGCTGATGAGCAAAACATCACTTTATTTGACTTTCAGCATGTTGAAAAATTAGGCACAGTTGCTCCACTTCAACCAATTCCTCCAGCACCAGACACGAGATTCACAATCTCATTCACGTCAGGTACTACAGGTGCTAATCCAAAGGGAGTAGTAATAACAAACAAAAATGCAGTTGCCGGTTTAGTTTTCCGATATATTAGAAGTTACAAGCCAAATGAAAGACAAGTTTTGTACTCCTTTTTGCCATTAGCTCATGTTTATGAAAGAGCAAACATTCAAGGATCATTAAGTATGGGTGCAGCAATTGGGTTCCCTCAGGGTAAACTGCCCCTTGCACTCTTTGATGATGTGCGTGAATTGCAACCTACTATGTTATCCTTAGTTCCTCGTGTTTTGACAAAATTAGAAGCTGCAATTAAGGCACAAACTATCAATAATCTGGCTAAACCATGGGTTCAATACGTCTTCACCAAAGCTATCAATGAGAAACTAAGGTTACAAGCTATCCCAAATAGCGACGATTCAAATACCTCGCATCTTGTATATGATCGATTGTTAAATGCTTTGCGTCATAAAGTTGGACTTGGAAGTGTTAGTGGCTTCACTGTTGGTTCGTCACCTATAAATTCCGACACGATCAAATTTGTTAAGGCGGCATTAAATGTTGGCATCAGTAATGGCTATGGATCTACAGAAACGTTTGCTGGATTTGTTGGTAGCTTCAAATTTGACCATGATCCGGGGTCCATTGGGACTATTGGTATTACTACTGAATGTAGATTAAAGGACTTACCAGAGATGGGGTATACTTCAGCAAACCCGAATGGACCAAAAGGCGAGTTGCTTTTGAGAGGGCCCCAAATATTTAAAGAGTATTACAAGAACCCAGAAGCCACTCTGGAAGCGTTTGATGAGGATGGCTGGTTCCTCACCGGTGATGTAGCAAGAATCGACCCTGCTAATCGAAATAGGATTTTCATTATTGATAGAGTAAAGAATTTTTTCAAATTAGCCCAAGGTGAATATGTTACACCTGAAAAGATTGAGAATATATATCTATCAGCCTTCCCATATATTCAACAAATTTTTGTTCATGGCAACTCCTTTGAATCGTATCTCGTTGGTGTGATTGGGTTAGATCCCCTTACAATTGGAGGATATATCAAATCAAGATTTCATGATGAGATCACCGATAAGGAAGATATAATATTGTTTTTCAGCGAACCAAAGAATAAGCGAATTTTTTTACAAGATTTAAATAATTCAACAAAGGGCAATTTACAAGGATTTGAAAAATTGCATAACGTGGAAATTTTGTTTGAGCCATTGACTGTGGGAAGCGGTGTGATCACTCCAACTTTAAAAATTCGTAGACCTATTTGCACGAAATTCTTTGAGGATACTTTGAATAAATTGTATGCTGAAGGATCAATACTAAGAATGGAGAAACTATAGTGTGTAGAATAGCACACTGATAAGAGAATAGAGTATACATAAAGGTAATGCAGAAGATTTGTTGTATTTTGCCAACAAGTGTTTATCTTTGTTGTAGTAAATTGTATGTACTCAAGCATTATTCATTGTATTCTTTTTTTTTAAAATTAAATGGCTGCGAAATTTGACGTCCCGGTTCCGGCATCTATTTTTTTGCAGCTTTGGACAAATCAATTTTGCTGCTTGGGCACTGTCATGAAATGATAATAATAATAAAATTATGTACACGACCAAAGCCTCCTTTTTGTGTAGTGAATGGAAAAAAAGAAATTTTCACAACTTGATAAACAGCATTTGTTAACAAGTGCCTTTTTCAACAATCGTTCCCTATTCAAATTACTAAGATTGGTACGGAGAACCTGTAGAATCGATGGACTCCAATTTACTATCTGCTTGGAAAACTGCGACACTATCGAGCAGAACGAGATAGTGGAACAATACTTTGCACCTTGTTCCGTTTTTTTTTTTCTCAAGTTGCTTGGCATCAATTGGTGCAAACAAATATAAATCAGCTTCGAGTCTTTAATTACTCTTATCTTATCATTATCAGACAATTTTCTTTTTCATAAAAGTGGGGTTGTTTGGTGCATACATTGTTATTCATCTCGTGTCCTTGTATTTCTTTGTTAATTCTTGAACAATCACCTTCTGTCCTCTATTGTATTTATTTTCCTCGAATTTTTTTACTTTCCCATTTTTGGACAATTACATGCTGCAATTCTTCCAGCCAGCCCATACAACTCAAGTAAGAACCTCAATTTATGCATAGTATTATCCTTTTAGGAAAAAAGATGGGAGAATAAAAAAAAAAAGAAAAATAAAAAAAAAAGAAATTTGGTTTTCCAGAAGAAAAAGAAAAAGAATAAAATAGGAACCTAAAGAGTATTGTTTAACTATAGTCTAAATCTCTTTTACATTGTTGAATGAAGAATTAAAAAACTTTTAAACAGCAACAATGTTTGAATCAGAGGTGTACTTGACTTGCGCAATTGAGATAGTATTGGCATCCAAGTTGTAAAGCAAGTAAGCGTGTCTCAAGAAGTTGTCTCCCAAAATAGCAAAATTACGTTTTGGTTGAATACCCCAGAGACATTTCTTGCTGTGTGTGCGATGGATGAATTCAGATAATGGAACGGTAATCTTGGCGCCTTTTTCGAAAGTGTAGGCTACGTTACCGCTGACTGAAGCATCACAGTCGATGACATACTGTCCATCACCAGAAGAATCATTTGTGACCCAGGTAGCACCAACTTGTTTTGCAATTTGAGAAGCAATATCAGATCTGAGGAAAGTCAATGTGGTACCTGAATCTAACAAGGCGCCGTCCAGGTAGTTATATGCCGTACCAGCATAGTCGATGGTGTCCAATGTAATTATCAATCTATCTGGTGAAGTAATTGTTTCGGCAATTAAATTACCAGAGTATTTTGCATTGTCAACACCACCAAAGATGAGCTGACCTGTAGCGGCACCTGGTGAGTTCAAGTACAATGAGTAGGCAGTGCTCTTGATAAAACCTTGTTTCTTCAAGGTAATTGGGATATTATCGTAGTTTTCACCGCTTTCTACACTTTCTCCACTCTTGAAACCGATACCCATAACAGCAACATCGGAGGAAGTGGAATTGACATCAGCAAATTGTTGACCAGTAATGGAGATTCCTCCAAAGCTAACAGTATCTTTTGCCCAAGGACCTTGAGATGAAGTCTCGTCACCATAAACAATGCTGAACTGTGTTCCCAAGCTTTGGTAAGTTGTCGAAGTTTTTGGGTCGAATGTTCCATTATCTTTGCAATCAATATCATCTTGACATTGAGCATTAACGTCGACTATCCATAAATCACTAGAACCAGTGTCTACGAGAACAGTTTGTGGTTGTTTGTTTGAGCCAACGGTGATACTGGAAGAGTAATAAGCAACTTTATCATGCAAAGTTAATGGAACATCATTTCTCTTGGCAAGATCCCCGTCAATAAATTGAGTCAAGTTCATATTGAGTGGGTTTCTGACAACATCGAAGTCCAAAGCAACGAAACCGGCACCGTCTCTCTTTTCAAGACCATCTGGGATAACAATACCTTGAGCCAACAAGGCAAAAGCAAGTGTGTTCAAAGCGTGTTTGGTAAAAGACAAGATTGAGAACATTGTTATTGTGGATCAGCTAGTGGTGAATGATGCCAAGATAGCAGAGACATGGACAAAACTAGAGGAAATCTACTTCAATTTAACACCACTACTTTGAGATGTCTTTTGGAGAGTGTCATTGACATTGTTCAAACAGAATTCGCTAAAAGCAATTTTTTCTAATATCCAAGTCTTTGTTATCAGTTATCAGCACCAATGAAATAGTAGCATTACTGGTTTACAGTCTTATTACATGCATTTCGTCACTGAAAAGAGATTGGGCCGTACCCCAAGAGCAGAACATTGTTCTCTTAAAATAAGAACTCAAGCATCTCGGGCTAAATATCACTCTTTGTTTTCTTTCTCAGCACATTAGCAAAGAGAATAGAACATCTAAAAGGCACAAGTTTATCGGTTTCTTTTTTTTTTCCCTACAGCACCGTCAAGCGCAATTAAATATCAACGGTTTGTTTCGCTCTAAGTCAACATACCTCTATTGTTTTGTAAATTCAACTATGATAATGTGACGAGAAAAAACAAGTGTGACTTTTATATTATAGCATAGGTTATTATCAAGTTTCTAAAGTTTGTATACAAAGCGCAAAAACTTTTGACACAATTGAATTATGAATACTGAAATTGTGCAAGCAACGGAAATAACAGCAAGCTTCCTATTTTTCCAGGGTTGCAATCCAGATTTCTACAACCTCCTGCCCTTCCTTCCTTCCTTCCCCCCTTCCTTCCTTCCTTCCCCCCTTCCTTCCTTCCTTCCTCCCTTCCTTCCTTCCTTCCTCCCTTCCTTCCTTCCTTCCTCCCTTCCTTCCTTCCTTCCTCCCTTCCTTCCTTCCTTCCTCCCTTCCTTCCTTCCTTCCTCCCTTCCTTCCTTCCTTCCTCCCTTCCTTCCTTCCTCCCTTCATTCCTTCCTCTCCTCCCACTCTTACTTTCAGTGGGTTATTATGTGCATTGTAAACAATAAACTATAAACTGAAAACAATAATCTATAATCTAATAAGCCCTTACTATTTCGGTCAAGGTTCTGTCATGTATAGGTTCTAAGTCGCTATCATACTTTGAAATAAGTCGCAACAGTTATGCATACACATAATACTCATTAAACAAAGTCATGACACGTGACATTGCAACATGCCAATGTAGACGAAAGCTGGAGGGCCATCAATGAAAGATATGTAACGTATCCTCTGATACGAAATAGATCAAAGTGAAAGAGTTTTTTCACTGGCTGCGAAATGAAAAAATAACCACAAAAGAGTCAAGAGTCAAGAGTAACTTATCTTGTAACGGATATAATACAAAACTATAGTCAATCTGTACTTATCTATTAATAAATTACTGCCATTCATCAGAGTGGCAAACGTTCAGTTACAACTAAACACCTCAATATACTATTGAGTATTCCTCTGTACTTTTCCTTAAACAGAAACAATATCTGAATCGGAGGTGAACTTAACTGGCGCAATTGAGATAGTATTGGCATCCAAGTTGTAAAGCAAGTAAGCGTGTCTCAAGAAATTGTCTCCCAAAATAGCAAAGTCATCGCCTGATGGTTGAATACCCCAGACACATAAGCCGTTCCCTGCTGGAAAGATGAATTCAGATAATGGAACGGTAATCTTGGCGCCTTTTCCAAAAGTGTAGACAACGTTACCGCTGACTGGAGCATTACAGTTGATGAAATACTGTCCATCACCAGAAGAATCAGTTATGACCCAGAAAGCCTCAGCATGCCTTGCAATTTGAGAAGCAATATCAGGTCTGATGAAACTCAATGTGGTACCTGAATCTAACAAGGCACCGTCCAGGTAGTTATATGACGTACCAGCATAGTCGATGGTGTCCAATTTAATTATCAATCTATCTGGTGCAGTGATTGATTCAGGAACTAAACTGCCAGAGTATTTTGCATTGTCAACACCACCGAAGATGATCTGTCCTGTAGCGGCATCTGGTGAGTTCAAGTACAATGAGTAGGCAGTGCTCTTGATAAAACCTTGTTTCTTCAAGGTAATTGGGATATTATCGTAGTTTTCACCGCTTTCTACACTTTCTCCACTCTTGAAACCGATACCCATAACAGCAACATCGGAGGAAGTGGAATTGACATCAGCAAATTGTTGACCAGTAATGGAGATTCCTCCAAAGCTAACAGTATCTTTTGCCCAAGGACCTTGAGATGAAGTCTCGTCACCATAAACAATGCTGAACTGTGTTCCCAAGCTTTGGTAAGTTGTCGAAGTTTTTGGGTCGAATGTTCCATTATCTTTGCAATCAATATCATCTTGACATTGAGCATTAACGTCTACAACCCATAAATCACTAGAACCAGTGTCAAGAATAACAGTTTGTGGTTGTTTGTTTGATCCAATGCCGATATTTGCAGAGTAATAAGTTTTTCTATTTTGCAAAGTTAACGGAGTATTTTTTCTCTTGGCAAGATCCCCGTCAATAAATTGAGCCAAGTTCGTATTGAGTGGATCTCTGACAACATTGAAGTCCAAAGCAATGACACCGGCACCGTCTCTCTTTTCAAGACCATCTGGGATAACAATACCTTGAGCCAACAAGGCAAAAGCAAGTGTGTTCAAAGCGTGTTTGGTAAAAGACAAGATTGAGACCATTGTTACTGTGGATCAGCTAGTGGTGATTGATGATGATGGTGACGGTAATGGTGCTGATGATGGTGATGATTGATGCCAACAAAGCAAAGACATGAACACGACTTGAGGAAATCCACCTCTATTTATAGCCAAGCTTGGTTCATCAAACTATGGAGCTTCCCAGTATCGGGTGATGAAGAGGAAATAGCACCAAGAAGAATAGAAAACAACATCTTAGTGTAATATGTAATCTGGTGTATTATAGTTTATTGATTACAATCAAACCCATATGTGTGTGAATACCGACTTCTCTCTCAGAAATTCAACCTCTATTGTCTGTTACAATAAGAGCCTCTCGAACTAGTGCATTTATAGGTTATTCAAAATCTTCCGTATATGCATCCTATTGTTCAGGATTGGAGGGCGGGGATTACTTCAAAAGACGCAAAAAGCTCCCTTATTACAAAAAGCTTAACCTTGCAGACAAACAAACACTCTTTTTATGGTCACAAAAGGACCCCTAAAGCCGTCAATTGCATTTTGAGTGTGTGTAACTGTCTAGCAACGGTATATTTCATTCACAATTACAATTAAATGAAAAATACATATAATCAAGCAAACATGACAAAAGCAAAACAGCTCGTATGTGTTACAACCTGGATTCCGATGGAAGAAGATTGGTCGCCTATAGGATGACCGACCCTGTTGTGACAACAAGCAATGGAAGCGTTTGAAAAGTGTACCAGTAATAATCGTGATATCTCATTAGGCAGGCTTAACGATACGGGTATATACCTCCTATCACAAGAACCCGATGCTCAATATTCATGTTACAATCTTTGAAGCTACAAACCATAAACTGGATTGGCACATACCTCATAATCATAAACTATACAAACCATTGCTCTTTTCACAGTGAGTTCTGTATGGTCCAATGAAACAGAAGGTTTGTGAAGCAGACTAAGGTGTAAAGTCCAAAAAAANAGAAGACAAAGAAATATGCCATTTGGGGGACACGTGAGATCGACACATGTCGAAGTAGACGAAAGCTGGAGGGCCATCAATCAAAGATATGTAACGTATCCTCTGATACGAAATAGATCAAAGTGAAAGAGTTTTTTCACCGGCTGCGAAATGAAAAAATAACCACAAAAGAGTCAAGAGTCGAGAGTCGAGAGTCAAGAGTCGAGATTCAAGAGTCAAGAGTCAAAAGTCAAGAGTCAAGAGTTGAGAGTCAAGAGTTGCTTATCTTGTAACGGGTATAATACGAAAAACAAACGTTCAGTTACGACTAAACACCTCAATATACTATTGAGTATTCCTCTGTACTTTTCCTTAAACAGAAACAATATCTGAATCAGTGGTGTACTTGACTGGCGCAATTGAAACGGTCTGGGCATCCAAGTTGAAAAGCAAGTAAGCGTGTCTCAAGAAATTGCTTCCCAAGATAGCAAATTGAGTTGGTGCTGGTTGAATAACCCAGAAACATATGTCGTTCCCTACTGGGAAGACGAATTCAGGTAATGGAACGGTAATCTTGGCGCCTTTTTCGAAAGTGTAGACAACGTTACCACTGACTGAAGCATTACAGTCAATATAATAACTTCCACCACCAGAAGAATCAGTTGTGACCCAGGTAGCACCAGCTTGCTTTGCAATTTGAGCAGCAGACTCAGAATGGATATAAGTCAATGCAGTACCTGAATCTAACTAGGCACCGTCCAGGTAGTTATATGACGTACCAGCATAGTCGATGGTGTCCAATGTAATTATCAATCTGTATGATGAAGTGATTGATTCAGTAATCAAACTACCAGAGTATTTTGCATTGTCGACACCACCGAAGATGATCTGACCTGTAGCGGCACCTGGTGAGTTCAAGTACAATGAGTACGCGTTGGTCTTAATAACACCTTGTTTCTTCAAGGTAATTGGAACATTATCGTAGTTTCCACTGCTTTTTACACCGCTTTCTCCATTCTTGAAACCGATACCCATAATAGGACCATAGAAGGAAGAAGTGGAATTGACATCAGCAAATTGTTGTCCTGTAATGGAGATTCCTCCAAGGCCAATAGTGTCTTTGGCCCAAATACCTCTTGCCAGAGATTGATTACAATAATTGATGTAAGACGGTGATTGCAAGCTTTGAAAAGTTGATGAGCTCAGTGGAGTGAAAGTACCCTGATTTTTACATTGGACATTATCTAAGCATTGAGCGTCTGAGTCAAATAACCCATAAATCACTTGACACAGTATCAACAACAACAGTTTGTGGCTGTTTATTTGACCCCGCTGTGATTTTGGCCGCATAACAAGTACTCAAATCGGACAAACCTAAAACAACATTGTCCTTTTTGCCAATGTATGTTGTTTCAGTGTAATTGGATTTCTGGTGATATTAAAATCAACAACAACAACAAAACTTTTATCTTCAGAAGTAGCCCCTGGAATAGCAACACCTTGAACTGATAAAGCAAAGGTCAGAGCAATCAAAATCTTAGGTGTAAGTGAAAAAATTTCAACCATATTGTTGTTTAGCAATAGAGACTATTTTTCTCACACATCAAACTGATTATAAAAAATAGACATGTTCGTGTTCCTGATAAGTTTTCATGGTGACTTTATACCACCGAAAACTTTCTTTTTTACCAAGGATCTATTAACTCGCGCACCTGTCTGTTTGATACTTCAACATATTAGCGTAATTGACCGCTAATTGAACCGATCACCATAGCGAAATTCAAGTCGCTCAAGGCAATTATTTTTGGCCATCACAATAAAGAGTCATCAGCCACTCACAAGTGAGATTTTCAAAGGAGAAAAAAAAAAAACGCAAATGGTGTGAGAGTCTGGTTCTCACAAACTTTGGGAGAAAAGTAAAAGGAAGTAAGGGGGGATAGATGGAAGCTTTCCTTGATGTTACAGTATACTATTGCGTTAGGTATAAATTGAAATTGTAGTTTCATATCATTTGTTAGGTCAATGTTTTCCGCCACTTAAACATTTTATAGCCCCCCCTGCTTCTGGGAATTATGAAATATTTTTTTTTTTAATTTAAAAAACTTTATAAAATAAATTGGGAAAAAAATTTTCTAATGGAAACTAATTTGTATATTCTGGTTTCCTTTCTTGCCACATGCTGACAAAAGAAGGGGGGTGCGGGAAATGATCGGAACTGTGCACACCAATGACGTTTATTGTCATATCACACATACTAAATTTCAAATCAAAAATAGCGGTTTCAACAAACATTTCATAACCTTGCATACAAAAAGTGTGTACTCTCAGGATATTAATGAAACATTAAAATAGTTACTTGCTTTAAGAAATAGCCCTCAAAAGTCGTAAGAAGAGCAAGCACAAGATAAATTCAATAAAGTACCGTTGTGGTTCATATCTGTTTCCTTTTGCCTTTTTCATGGGCACAAGGAAATAAATATGACCGTAGAGGAAAATGCCACAAACTTTCATTAGAACTGACAGGTATTCTTGGGCATGGAATTGAAAAACGTTTGGCTCTGTTTGTAATTAGAATTCAAGTAACTTTTTTACACAGAATGATTCTTTTTTTTTCATCTGCAATGCTACTAAAATACTATTCCTCTGGTGTATCAAGTGCAAAAAGGTTTTATTGCTCAAAAAATTGTGATAACTCTTAATGCCTATAAATAGTATGTCCTGCAGCCATGCTCACCTTCCTTTTACAAGTTACCCAAAACCCCTTTTCCTCACCCCATGTTATATATTTCATATATAAAAGAGTGTACAAATGCAACGGGTAAGCATTTATCCACTTTAGCTAATGGTGTTTCAGTATCAATTTCCTCTATTTCAGCATAGAGCTAATACCTGTATAACGTTCTAAAACTCAATTATTCCTATTTAATCGCGGCTTTAAGGCTGATATGCGCGTATACCTATTTATTCCTCCTTCCCTTTTCGTCATGAGCACAGAAAAACTGAATTGCATTTTTTTTTGTAACTAAAGTCTATAATGAACTCATCAACTCTGTTCTTTGGGGTTCTTAAACTGGAGCCGCTGTTCCGCTCCCTCACCACCACCACCACCATAACACACACACATCTGACTCGGATTTGTTGACAAACATCTTCGTCTAGATCTCGCAAGTAATTACTTCCTTGACAGAGAAATGTCAAATGTCAGAATTCAGAATTCAGGTACCAATTGAGCCAAGAATTAATATCTAGTCCCAATACGCAAACTTTTTGGAAAGATGAAAATATAAAGCTTCAGCTTAAACTTAATGCTAAATCATAATACTCTACTCTTACTTGTTAGGAGAAGAAATACACTCAACAATATGTGACCAAATATGTTATGAGCAAATATGTTATGAGCAAATATGGTTGAGATTTGTAACCTTTTTTGACACATTAATTCAATAGACGCACAATCCCAGGTACACACACACACACACACACACACACCATCTTACAGAAATGTGGAATTATAAATCCGAAGATACTGTTTTATACCGGCTACAAATCAATACCAGAAAGAAAGAAAGAAAAAAATACAAATTGATAATTACATTAAATTGAACTTTGTGTTACATTTACCGTATTTCTATTTCTATTTCTATTTCTATTAGTATTAATATATATAATATACTTAACGCCAAAGCCTCCTTTGGCTGACCTCACTCACCTCTTTCTCCCTGTGGCTTCCTATTGAGAAGTTGTGGACTGATTTTGCTTTTCAAATAACCCACGCATCAGAACTATCAAAGTGTGTTTGCAAAAGAAAAGCATTCTGAGAAGAGTATTTGAAAACGATCTAATTTCTGTTTCACTTGCTTTTGCTTCGTTTGCTTTACCAAGCTACATAATTTGCGCTCCCGCGTCCGATATTTTTTCTCTATGGTAATCCAGTTGAAGGAGGGGGGGCGCGCAAGCATAAGAGCTTTTTTTTTTTTTTTTCATCCTATAGGATGTATGGAATGGCTCTTATAATTTGTCGAGCCACCAAGTGTTTAGCAATAAAAAAGTGTTCATTTATGGTACAAAATTAGATGTCTAGTCTAAAGTTGGGTGATTTCAAGATTACGTGGGTATTCAGTTGTTGGGTAAATTTTTTTATTCATGACAATATGGAAGGGGGAGTGGAAACGAGTGTGAGGGTATTGTATGCACAGTGATAAACAAATGTTCAACCTCTTGTATCATTGGTAACACTTTTGCTTTCCCCTCCTCTTTCAAAACTCTCCACAAAATATTAATAATATATAATTAATGTAGTTTACACACTGACTATATCGACACTGTAGGTGCCAGCTAGTCAGTGTGCTCCACTATCTCGCTCTGCTCGATAGTGTCGCGACTAAAAAGGAACTATAAAACTAATATCGGATTTAATCTATTATTTTATGTACCGCCAAAGAAGAAAAAAAAAAGTATCCATTTGGCAGGAACATGGTGCTCCAAAACAAATGTAAACCACTCATAACGACTCTTTGAAGAGCAGAAGAATTAGGCTTATAGAGGTTATTTAGAAAAAAATACCTATATATCTTAATTAGTGAATCTCTGGCGTAATATTGAAATTTTATCTTTTGCTTTAATTGCCCATTGGGTTACGATATTAGAATCAAGGGTGAGGAGGAAAAGAGAAGAACGTGCACCTCTCTTTTTGCTGGCTAAATATAGAAGGCAATATGGGTGTTGGCTTGTTCAATAGTAACTCTGCTTGATACATAACGCAATATCACCCGTAAAGGGTAATACTCTGTTTGAAGAAAGCTGGTCAATATTAAATTCCACATAAATGAATGGTCAATATCGAAATCCACATAAATAAATGGTCAATATTGAATTCTACGGAAATGAGCATCCACGAAATGAAAAGTGTTCTTCTTTTTACGAGAATAAGGAAGAAACGTGACTAGAGTTGAATCGAGTAGGTAACAAAGAAACGTGGTTACAGCTGAATCGAGTAGGGTAAAGCAGAGAAGATCAGAATATGTAAGATAAGTTTTGGGCAAATTATTGCAAAAAAAAAAAATAAAAAAAAATAAAAAGAAACAAATACATTTGGCCTCTAATACATCAACTGACAAAGGACCAAACACAGTACCCATATCCATTGCTGCTTTAATTGATTGAAAGAAACAGAAAACCCATGTTTCTGCATCATCGTCTTGAAGAAGTGATAAACTTTAATGATAATATATCACGTGATATATATATAACTAGGTAGACTGAGAGAGTTGTAATGTACACACGACAAGCGTTGTGACGCAGTGGAAGCGTGCAGGGCTCATAACCCTGAAGTCCCCGGATCGAAACCGGGCAACGCTAACTTTTTTTTTGTCTCCCCCGCTCGTTCAATTATCATGAAATTACGAAAGTTTTGTAATCTCATGATGGTGATATTAATAGATGTTGATAAGAATATCTAGAGTTCTAAACCACATCCTTTTACATTACTGAAATTTTGCACGTTAAAGCGGAAAAAAAAAATAAACAAATTAAATGAGGTATAGTTGTTAGTAAGACCACTTCTACAGTAAATATAATGAGATCTCTTGCACCTGTTGAGTGCTCGAGATCTCGTACCAAGCATGCTACGATTTAAAAACACATTATTTGTATGTTTTATCATCAAAGCACACGATGCGAAACCAAAGCTGAAAAATGAATTTCATCATTAGCAATTTTTTTTCGGCTCCACCTTTTTCTACTCTCACTCACTCACTTACTCACACTCTCTACAAGTATAATTTGAGGTTCTTTGAGGTTCTCCTTTGCTATTAGAGTTTGGTGAGTTTGGTGAGTTTGGTGACTTGAGGGCTGTTATTAACGAGAATGAAGAGGACCGTATTTGTTGCACTTTTCTTATTATTGCTACGAGCAGCATCAGTTCAGATTTCGTTCAAAGTACAAGATATATTTGGCACTTGCACACTACTGCAGTATGGACATTATAGTTCTATAGATGCTATTGAGCACCCCATTGACTTAAAGCAGTATGAAGATAACTGTGTAATAAGGATATCCTATGCCAATGATGAGCCATTAAAGGAATTTCTACTTGGATCGACATCCAAAAGCAAAAGCAACAGCAACAGCAACAGCAATATCACATATAAGAAATGGGGGAAAAACAATAATCAACAGACGTTGGACATCCAAATAGATGCCAATTCATTGGGCAAACTAGTTGAACGTTTTCCAACTATGGTATATAAAATGGTTATCAAAGATTTGTCACAAGCCGTTTATGAAACGTTTCCTTTGTCAAAAGTTCCCCTTATTTTGGAGAGCAACAATGATATCCATTCCTTCTCGGAAGAAGTTTTCTTTAAGGAGTACCGTGACATAGCCACGATCAACTCATGGTTGTCTCTTCTACAAGCAACTTATCCCGATATTATCAAGATTGAAGATATTGGAGAAACTTTTGAACATAAGAAATTACAAGTTGTCCACTTTTCAGTACCTTCAAGCGAAATCGAACACCGCGAGAAGAAAACTGTTGTTATCACGGGAGGCATACACGCGAGAGAATGGATATCGGTATCAACCACCTTGTATCTCATTTACAAATTGGTCCAATTATATGACACTTGGCCAGAATCGAAAATGTTGACGAATTTGAATTTTTTGTTCATCCCTGTATTTAACCCGGATGGTTACGAATATACTTGGACAACTGATAGATTATGGCGTAAGAATCGCCAGCAAACACCAGTGCCCAAGTGTTTTGGAATCGACATTGATCATTCATACGATTACCATTGGACCAAATCATCAGATTGGGCTTGTGGTGAAGAGTACAGTGGCGAGTCGCCATTTGAAGCATTTGAGTCACGTATTTGGAATAGCTACTTGGACGAAACTAACCAGCAACACAAGATATCGGGATATATTGACTTGCATTCATATTCACAAGAAATCTTGTACCCATATGCTTATTCCTGTAATCAACAACCAAGAGATGAAGAGAATTTACTTGAATTAGCCTATGGAATTGCTAGGTCCATTAGGTTGCAGCTGGGAGAAGATTATCAAGTACTTCCGGCATGTATTGATAAAGATGCAGACCTTTTGCCCGATTTGGGATCAGGCACGAGCTTGGACTTTATGTATCACAATAAAGCATATTGGGCATACCAACTTAAATTGAGAGATACGGGGGACCATGGGTTTCTACTTCCGTCGAAATACATTGAACCAGTTGGTAACGAAGTTTATGCTGCCATTAAGTATTTTTGTAGCTTCATTTTAAGTGATGAACGTTAATAAAAGAGAGAATTCAAATGGTACCAGCTATTGTAAAATCTACCCGAACACGAACACTAGTAAGAGTCAGTAAATAAAATCCTTCCTCCTTCCCCTCCCCTCCCCCTATAAATACAAGTAAATGAAATGTCCTAATATTCGTGGTGAACTCTCAATGGGAAGGAAAAAAAAAAACCAAGTTGAAAAATTAAGAAGGAAAATTCACCTTACTAAAACTTGAGAAAACGGGTCCTAATGAGGGTGGTGATTCAAAAAGTTAAGAACGCTTCAGTCACAGTTGATGAAACTGTAGTATCATCGTATGATAACAGATGAAGAAAAAGTCTTTTTAATAAGCAGCAGCCATGACAAATGTACTAACGACAAGCTTTTAAAAAGAATTGGTAAAGGATTAATGATCTTGGTTGGAATTTCAACCACTGACACCAAGGAAGATGTACTCAAGCTAAGCAAGAAACTTTTGTCATTGCGAGTATTTGAAGATTTATCACAGCCTCCGCAAACAGCGACCAGATGGTACGGTAAGCCCTGGGCGAAGTCAGTTGTCGACATTCATGGTGAAATATTATCGGTGTCGCAGTTTACGTTGTATGGGACGGTGAAAAAGGGAACCAAGCCAGATTTCCACAAGGCTGCAGGAGGAGACGAGGCGAAACTGCTATATGACACATTGTTAGAGGAGTTGAGAAAGGGATTGGGTGACGAGAGGGTCAAGGATGGGAAGTTTGGCGAAATGATGGATGTATCTTTGGTTAACGAAGGACCCGTTACAATTGTTTGGGATACCCAGGAAAATTCCTTATAAGGAAGCATATTGAGGAAAAGAAAAAAAAAAAGAGGGTTTAATGAGTTCCTCTTGAATACTAATTAATATATTATAGAGCATTACTTTTACAACTAAATGGTTTACCGTATGCATCTGCCTGGTAGGACCAAATAATACTCTGGATAGTTGCATATAGCCCCGGACCCAAAATATAGAACCCTAATCCGAAAATCAACACATTGAGCAAAAATTCACCCTTTTGAAAAAGATTTGATTTTTTGAACAAACTCAACAAACCAACATTTACTCCTTCTAATTTGTAATAGTATAGTTTTCTCAACTTGAAATACGCTAATGCCCAGAAGATAAAACCAAAAAAGCAGTCAAACAATGAACTCATCAAGCTCAACAAATCACTAAAGAATGGGATAACCTCAGCTATAACAAATGCAATGACCCATAGTACAGCATTCAATAGAATCCAAATACCCCAGCCCTTGACTGTATGGCTATTTCTGTGGACGCTAGATTTATTAAAGATTTGCTGAAACAAAAACTGGGAAGATACATTGCTGTATAATGCCCCAAGAAACACAATTGTTGGTAATGCAAAACTGAATGCAATCTTTTTGAAGTTACCAACCAATGAACCAAATGCCGGGGCGGTTATATAAGCGTTTCCAACATAAACGTAAACGATGGAACCGGTCAATGCAAAAACGATCAATTCGCAAATGGTCACCACGACTAAAGCTTTACGAAAATCGCGAGGTTTTTTCATCTGGGAAATGAATGAAGGGTATGTAATTTGCCCGACAAATGTATAAACGATATTCAAAACTGCAGACATGATGTTTACATATTTTTCGTCCTTTTTTGGCCAAGCATGCCATACAACTGGCGTGCTGTCTTCATATCCAAATGGATGGGTTTGAATGCCTGCAAAGACCATGGCTAAGATAACGGCAATAAACATGGTAAGTGCTGAGAAGTACCCAACACTCGACATGTGACTGAATGTTCTTGGTAACGAAAACACAAAGCATGCAACCGCAGAGACAACACCAAATACAATGGAACATATGGTTTGATTGTCGCTTATTGTATTGAAATATTTGGCTCCAACTAAGACATGCAAAGCTTGAATCAAAGTGTTATTCAACAAAAACGCCACTGCAGTTGCGTACCATACCCACTTGGAACCAAATACCAAATGCTGCCCGATATCACACACATTTGTCAAATGAGGATATGCTGCACAGTAGTCACTAATGATCAACCCAGTATAAAGGCAAAGTAGGGACACAATAACGGTTACAATTAATCCCAACCCTAGACCCAAGACTGAATATGACCAGGGAAACGACATGATTGCAAGACAAATATATTCACTAAATAAAAGTCCTGCTGTTTTCTTCCATGAACAATTTCGATAATTGATATCGTGTGAGTTTTCATAGTCGATATCCTTTTTTAAGAAGGTGTCTGCATCGAGAGACGAGAGATCTGAAGTCTCTTCGAGCTCTAAATTAGAGTCCTTTGTGGATAAGTTGGACATGAAAAGAAAATCGTATTTGCCCCAAAAAAAAGAAAAAAGAGGTAGGTCTCTTACTCCTAGTAACCAAGTTTTACGAGATATATATTCGTTTATTTAAACAAAAACTATAGAAAAATAAAGCAAGATCTTACCATAAGCCCTGCCCTGCTTCCAAAATAGATTTCATCGAGATAAGCAAAGAAGAAAAAGAAACTAGTTTCCGCCCTGAAAACAGTTTTTTTATCCTTTTTGATTTCTTTTTTTATTTTTTTATTTTTTTCAAAGAAATTGGGGGCACATACTTATTACTGAGCAATGGCGTTTTCATGACGTAAGAACAATACCTTCATTTCACTGAAATGTCTAAAATTCGTCAAATTTATTTAATATAGCTTACTTATAAGAGATGCTTAATGAGTTAAAAAAGAAAGTAATAGATTTTTTTAAACTATATAGAAAGCTCATCGCTCTGTGCCTAGATCTCGCCCCAGATGGAAAGAAAAAAAAAGAAATATAGGCCAAGCCGCCGTTTGGAATTACACTATCGAGCAGAGCGAGATAGTGGAGCACCACACTAGCCACTAGAGCACTACATTACACTAGCCACTAGAGCACCACACTAACCATTAGAGCACAAACACTAGCTACATCCTCTTTTGGAAAGCAAGCACAGCAACACAAATCACAAATCGTATATGGATTGTAGTGGATTCATAATTAATATATACTTTATGCTAAATAGATATATAGTATATTTTATGCTAAGTCGGTGGCAGCTCGTCAGTGTTGCTCCACTATCTCGCTCTGCTCGATAGTATCGCTAGTCAGAAAAAGTAGTTTGGGTCGTATATTTCCGAATCCAAGGCTGCACTTTGATAAGAATACAAGCTTTGTAATTTATATAGGTGTCCATATATATATATATCTATTTAATTGATATGATATCACGTGGCATTTATTGAATAATAGGACAAGTGGCGAATTATTTCGTAGCTGCATCCTCTTTTGGAAAGCAAGCGCATATTTAAAATAGGATAGTACTGTAGTAGCGCAGCAGCATATTAAAATAGTAGTATTGTAGTAGCGCAGCAACACGTTAAAATAGCATAGTATTGTAGTAGCGCAACTAATAGTATCCACAGTTTAATTCGTATATCCTCACCTTTTCCATTAGGTAAGGATATATATATATAATGTGGCGTTTGTTTGTGGTTTATGGGAGATTTTTTCTTTTTTTTTTTTTTTTTTTTAGTGAGCAATGCAATAGCTGGTGATGAGGGTCAATGCAATAACGATAATTGCAATGACTTTGAAATTCTCTTCATAATTGAACCTTTCAGTTGGATCGAATTCAAAGTTATTGAATATTCGATTATCGTTGTCGCTTATGAATTGACGATATATGGTAAAACTCTGTATATAGCTTATTATTTTGTACTTTTTAATAACGAGAATTATTAGAATAGTTATTAAAAGAGCTAACGGTAGAGGAATATCATTCTTGTTGACCCATATAGGAGGACTTGATTTCCTAGCTAGAAAGGTCATTGTATCATGTAATAGAGAGAAAACACAGGAAAGATGGCTTTGAACAATACTTTGCCGCCGTTTATTTACCAATCGTCTTCAAGTGGGGTGGAGGCGAGGGTGAACTTGATTTGGTCTATATGGGACAATGTAAACTTCTTACATCTCGAACCAGTGTCGTAAATACAATTTGCGACAAAGTTTTTTTTTCGCCGCGACATTTACCTTTTTTAAACGCACCAATGAAAAATTGCAAAATGATGAATGGTATTCAACCAAGTATAGAAAGGTTTGTATAAGAAGTTTGCAAGAAAAGATACAGGAAAATGCAGCCATATTCGAGATTTGGTGGGACTAGAAGGTGCTTTTACGAGTTTCAGCTTTTGGTGAATTGTCATACGTCGGCGGATGTGAAATCAAAAAAACAGTGTTTACCAGCATTTGACGATTATAATGAGTGTCTACATGGATTGAAAGAACGTTCAAAGGCAAGAACTATGGCAGAACAGTTGGCTGAAAATGAAAAGTCGGGTAAAGGTATAACTGCTAATGAGTTGTATAAGAAGGGAAATCAGATATACGAGAATTTGAATTTGGTGAGTGAAACCAAGTAGAAAGAGAAGGATGTGACACTATCGAGCGAAGCGACACTATTGAGCAACATTGACCACCACTATTGAGCAACATTGACCACCGACACTATTGAGCAACATTGACCACCGACACTATTGAGCAACATTGACCACCGACACTATTGAGCAACATTGACCACCGACACTATTGAGCAACATTGACCACCGACACTATTGAGCAACATTGACCACCGACACTATTGAGCAACATTGACCACCAACACTATTGAGCAACATTGACTACCAACACTATTGAGCAACATTGACCACCAACACTATCTCGCTCTGCTCGATAGTGGAGCAACATTGACCACCAACACTATCTCACTTTGCTCGATAGTGGAGCGCTGCCAGGTGTCCATGTAAAAGAGTACAGCAACAAAAGAGTAGAGCAGAATATCAATATATAGAGAAGGAAGAGATGTCAATGGAAAGAGGACTATTCCTGAATGATAGCGGTTTCAGATTGAGGGGTTTTAGCTTGCAATTCTAGAAAAGTAACGTCTTGTAGCCGACCAAATTTGTACATTAAAAGATGAGCAATTGGCAATAAGCAATTAATACTGAGCGACTTGGTACTATTGTTTTATATTTGTAGGTCATCTCTAGAATACTGGTATCACTCTATCAACGGCCTCACTATCAACGGCCTCACTCTATCAACGGCCTCACTCTATCAACGGCATCACTCTATCAACGGCCTCACTCTATCAACGGCATCGCAGTGGATTATGCGAACCCAAAAAAAAAAAATACATTTTAATGATAAGAATAGTAGGTAAAGAGAAGTTGTATTGGTGTGTATCCCTCTCCCACGATGGATGCTGGCGGCCAGATAACGAGTAAGAGAATTCTAGACGATGCTTTTAACAGTTCTAACAAGATCTCGTCATTTCGACCGAAACAGACTATCCAAGATCTAGAAGAGTTATATTCTTATCAACAAGCAAAGAGGAAAGAATTTGAACAACAACTAAATAAAAATAGACTCAATTTCGGGCAATGGCTAAGGTATGCAAAGTGGGAATTAGAACATAACCATGACTTTGCAAGGGTGCGATCAATAATGGAACGAGCTTTGGATGTAAATGTAGAACATATCCCATTTTGGACTCATTATATACAATTGGAGTTGATACACAAGAATATTAACCATGCACGGAACTTGTTGCAACGAGCGACAACTACCCTACCAAATGTTGATAAATTGTGGTTTTTATATGTGCAAACAGAAGAGATGTTGAAAAATTACCAAATGGTAAGAATTGTGTTTGAAAAATGGTTAAAATGGCCCCCAAATGAAACTACTTGGGAAGCATATGCTAATTTTGAAGCCAGGTACGAAGAAACTGAAAATGTAAGGCGAATCTACCAGAGGTACCTTGCTGAATATCCAAGGTGCCAAGTGTGGCTAAAATGGGTAGATTATGAGTTGCAGAACAATCCCTCTGATATTGCGCAGATACGAGCAGTTTTCGAAGCTGCAATTGATTTCGTTTGCAAAACTCCTGGTGCTATTGTTGATGACGATGAGTTTTTTCCAAAGCTTGTAGCTCTGTGGTTAGCTTGGGAGTTGAGGTGTCAAGAGTTGGAAAGAGTTAAGGCAATACATGAGTTACTCTTGGATAGTAATCGATTCAAATATTCTTCAAAAGTGAAAAAGGCATTGCTAACTGCTATTAGCGAGATTGAGAATGTTGTTGGTGATAAGAAATCGATAGAATCAAGTATAATTCAGAAGAGAAGGATTAAATATGAGGAGGATATTGAAATAGATCCTACAAATTATGATTCCTGGTGGTCGTACATTAGCATAGTAGTACTGCAGGGTGAAAGTGAAAGTGAAAGTGAAACTGAACGTGAAAGCCGAGAGAAACTAAGAGAAATTTTTGACAAATCAACATTGTACCCTCCAACGGATGCTTGGAAAAATGACAAATGGAGAAAATATATAATGATCTGGGTAAGGTATGCTTTTTGGGAAGAGTTTGACAATAGTGACATTGAAGCGGCGAGAGCAGTTTGGAATTCTTGTTTAAAGATTATGCTGCAAAAATCATTCATTTCAGGTAAAGTATGGATTGGACTTGCCGAGTTTGAATTGAGAAACAACTCGGAGAATGGTTTGAGTAAGGCACGGAAGGTATTAGGAAGAGCCTTGGGACAAATGAACCAATGTGGTCCCAAAATGAACATTTTAAAGTACTACATCAAGTTGGAGAAGAGACTTTGCGAATGGGATCGAGTGCGTCTTATTTATCAAAAGTGGTTAGAACTTTGTTTTTTGTTTAGGATACCTTGCAATGATGTTGTTAAACAGTTGCTTCTGTTTGAAACTTTTCTTGACGAGGAAGGGAGATGCGAAGCGTTAATGGAGGTTTTGGTTGATCTATGCGTAAAAGAAAAGGATGTTATCGAAAGCCGTGATGATAGAGCTGAGATTATCGAGATGGCAATTGAATTTTTCACTGAGGCGTTGAAGTATGACAAGGTTCGAGATATTTACAAGTCAATGGTGGATACAGAACCAACAGCACATAATTGGATAAATTTGGCTTTATTTGAGTCTACGATTCCAACAACAGACCAATTGGAACAACTCTTAGAGGACACCACGGGGCAGTTTGAGATTAGTGTTGGTCGCGAACAAATTGAAAACACCAGGTCTGTTTACAAGAAAGCAGTGCTCTATTTCAGAAAACACCATGACCAAGAAAATCAAAAGTTGGTTCTTGAGTCCTGGAGAGAGTATGAGGAAGCAAACGGGGATGATGAAAGCATCGCCGCAATTAGCTCCAAGTTACCAAAAAGAGTCAAAAAGAGGAAAACAGTGAATGGCATTGAAGAAGAATATTATGAGTTGGTATTCCCCCCCGAAGATGAAGAAGAAGAAGAAGAAAAAGAAGAATCCAACCCACCAGTTGTACCTCCTTCGATCAACAAGTTTTTGGCAAATGCCAGAAAGTGGGCAGAAACCAAAAAATGAGTGTCGCTAGTGTCGATAGTGTCGGTTTCGTTTATATCTTGTGCATTTCCTATACATATTTATCCACCTCTCAAAGTCAATACCAAATGCAAAGACGCGCCGGCTTGGATACCTGATTCTTGTACAGTTCTATCATCATCTAATTGCGAGCCATTAAAAATCAATCGCTGTTGCGCCGGTGAAATACCTTCCTTCTCTTCCATCATTTCTTTTATTCTAATAATCTTATCCTGTGGTTCAATGTCCATCACGATATCTCTTCCTGTCAATGTTTTGACTCTCACCTGCATTTTTGACAAAACACTAAGAAGAACTAAAGCAGATGTTGGCAATCACAACAACAACGTACAACCACTTACAGAAAAGTAGAACCAAACAGAAAGGCCAATAAGAGATTGGTTATAAGTGTTATTCTATATTTGATTTGGCGCTTAATGATTTTTTTTCGTCATCATCATCTCAGAAAGTGAAAAACATACAAAGGAAAGCATACCGGGGGAAGGCATACGAGAGAAAGCATACCGGGGGAAGGCATACGAGAGAAAGCATACGAGAGAAAGCATACCGGGGGATTTCTTTTTTGGATGTTTCTGACACCAATTGTCAAGGATGTTGATTATGATAAGGTATATGAGCCATCTGAGGACTCTTTTTGTTTCCTAGACTGTTTTGAAGATCAAAAGGAATTTTTGGAAGAAAGACTTGGGAAGAAGGTAACGCCATTATTAGTTGAAATAGGTACTGGATCGGGAATAATTACAACTTTTTTATTACAAAACATTTTACCAGATGCTGTATATATGGCTACAGATGTCAATCCCAGTGCATGCACTTCGGTATTGAACACCGTTCGACTAAATTGTCCACAACGAGCTTGTTTAGTCGATTCTTTACGAATGAGTTTAGTTTCGGGTGTGCGCCGAAATTTGGTGGATGTTCTTGTTTTCAACCCGCCCTATGTGCCTGCAACAGAGGTTCCGAAATACCTGCAAAAAGGCGATGACGACTCCAATTGGTTGGACTTGGCATTATTGGGGGGTAAAGATGGGATGATAACGACATGGCAAGTGTTGAACGACCTTGAAGAAATATTGAGTTCTCGCGGGGTAGCCTATATATTATTCTGTGCAAGAAACAAGCCCGAAAACGTCGCAGAGGAGATGAGACTGAGGGGGTGGCGGGTTGACATTGTTTTCAAGAGAAAGGCTGGCTGGGAGGTGCTAAGCATTTTAAGATTTATCAAGGTATAAGAGTATCAGGGAGATAGAGCCATGCTCAAAATCTCATATCATATATAGACTTCCGCGACGACACTATTGACACTATCGACACTATCGAGCGAAGCGAGATAGTGTCTCCACCTGCACTATCAACACTATCGACATTGTCTCCACCTGCACTATCGACATTGTCTCCACTGGCACTATCGACATTGTCTCCACTGGCACTATCGACATTGTCTCCACTGGCACTATCGACATTGTCTCCACTGGCACTATCGACAATGTCTCCACCAATATACTACTCATGATACTGATACACCTCTACTCAACTACACCTCTACACCTCTACTCAACTACACCTCTACACCCTAACCTCTACACCTCCACACCTCTACACCCTAACCTCTACACCCTAACCTCTACACCTCCACACCCTAACCTCTACACCTCCACACCCTAACCTCTACACCTCCGTATTTTAACATACAACTCGTACTCCTTTTGTAAAGAGCCTAATTGATGTTTCTCATCGCAAATAAAAAAGAATTGAACAAACAAAAAATTGAAAAATTGATAAACCAGTATACTTGTAAGAAGAAGGTAAGCTCTCGACATTTCACTCTAACTAGTGGTATATCTATGTCCACCAGAGGAAGATTGAACCGTTTTGATGACTCTGGTCATAGTTCATCTGGTACTGCGTCATCCCCGGTGCATGCTAAACAGACGAGATGGACAGGCAAGGCAACTAGGTTTAAGCATTTTGGACCGGTGCAATTGGATACAATTATAACGGGACATTTGACCCAAGAACAACTTGATGCGTACCAACAGCTATTTAGAATACAGGAGATATCATACTACTTGCGTGTTTCTCAGCAAGAGCATAAACCGATTATAGACCTCCTACCGTCCTCACATGTTGAGGCAAAGGGTGCTGGCGTAGAGTACAGGAGAGAGCCATCACCACCGCCCAAATACGATAATCAAGGTAACCGAATAAACACACGAGAGCAGAGAGTACGGGAGGCGCTCGAGAAGGAGAGACACGAGTTGGTTGAATTGGCCGCAGGGACCATAAAAAATTTTCTAGCTCCAACGGATTATAGAAAGCCTTCTAAAACTTTTGAAAAATTGTACATACCAGTAAAGGACTATCCTGAAATCAACTTTGTTGGATTCTTGATTGGCCCAAGAGGTAGAACATTGAATAGGCTTCAAGAGGAGTCCGGGGCTCGTCTTCAAATACGAGGAAAAGGATCGGTTAAGGAAGGTAAATCTACTCAAGCAGCAATAGAAGACAAATCTTCAGCGGCTGCAGATTCTGTAGAAGATGACCTCCATGTCTTGATTACCGCTGATTCTCAGCACAAGATTGCCAAAGCAGTCAAGTTGGCTAATGAGGTTATCGAGAAGTTGATTACATCTCCCGAGGGGCAGAATGAGCTAAAGAGAGAACAGTTGAAAGAATTGGCCGTGTTGAATGGTACATTACGAGAAACCAAACCATTTGATCCAGAAGCCTACCAGAGGCGACAACAGAGGGCTTTTGATATAACAAGGATTGTATGTAAAAGATGTGGCAGAATCGGCCATTATGCAAGAGATTGTAATCAAAACCAAAATTATGGTAATGATCATACAAACAATGCCAAAAACGAAACTGATAGCTACACACCACAATCCAGATCTATCGCTTCCTCTTCAGAACGAGTAAATAAGAAACCAAGAACAGAGCTTCCACTACCTCCATGGCAAAACCAGTATCATTATCAGCAAACTGCAACGGGCACACCAAATTTGCCCAGCTCTTATGTTAATGGTCCTCCACCATTGAACTACCAATCTCGACACCCTCCTCCTGCTCATCCTCCTGCTCATGCTCATCCTCCTGCTCATCCTCCTGCTCATGCTCATCCTCCTGCTCATGCTTATGCTCATGCTCATGCTCACTCACCACCTCCACCTCCGCCACCACCTTCTATTAATGCTCATGCAACACCTCCACCCCCGCCTCCTCCTGCTCATTCCAACGCACTACCCCCACCCCCACCTCCTTCACAACCACCACCATCATCGGGACGAATACTCTCAAACCCAAAACAAGCAAACCTTTCGCCCTCCTTGGGTTTCAATGCCAGAGCTACACCCCCATCAACTTCTGCTCCATCGGTGCCTCCACCGCCTCAGCCGCCTCAGCCGCCCCAACCTCCACAACCTCCACAACCTCCAAATCGAAACCAGCCACCGCCACCACCTCCTCCTCCACGGAAATAAAACAAATGCTACATCACCTTACGTGGGATATATATATATATATGTAGCCTTTTATAAAGAAGTAGAAGAAGAACTTAATTTTTGCGGTGTTGATGCAACAACAAAATCAATAGAGGAAACTCTTACTGTAAGATTGCTGATTCCAACGCCACACAGTGCATTGTTACTCGTAATAACTTTATAGTACATGCTCTCTAACCTACTCTAAACATAAGCCAACATTTCCCTGATACATTCCTTCACTCGATAATACAAAGGTCCAACATTTCCATCAATGACAATATCACCCGCTCCATTATCATCATCTCCTTCCCCACCGCCGCCTGACCCCAAGTATGTGATTTTACGAATTGCCAATGTGCCGTTAACCACTAAAGTTCCCTCGCATTTGAATTCAACTTGTAATGGTTGATTTTGAAAAGGTGTATTGTATGAGATTAGTTTCTTTCTCAAGTCGGGTAATCGAATATCACCAATGGCCAACTTCGGCGTTGCATTTTCAATCATAGATTTCAATTTCGGATTTGTGATCTTGTCGAGTACAGTGGTTGATTTTGTGGTTGAAGCTGATGAGTTTATTGGTTTCAATGAAAATTGAGTATTTGAATTTATGAAGTCGGATACTTTCCTTCTTCTTTTCAGCGATGATGATGATTCAGCCGGTGGTAAATTGGTGACCTCTAATTCACCATACACTTTGGCTACTCTATAATCATCTCCAATTTTTTGCCATTTCAAATTTGTCACTAGTTGATCATCGAGATTGATTTCAAAATTATTCAATTCAATGGCGTTATCATCATCACCATCCTCGTCACCACTACCACTACGACGTGAATCTACACCAATCTTTATTGGCTTGTCTGAGTATGCCACTAGCACATTCATCTTACCACTTCCAGAACCTCTAGAGTAAGCACTCGATAATCCATCACGCACGGAGGCAAGAGACAAATACCTAGACGAATTAAAAAGTTGTCTTTTGGTATGTTCCATGGCCTGTTCGCTTTGCTGTTGTTGAAAAAATTTCTCCACTTGAATAACACCGCGATTGGAATTGTCCCCTTCTTCAGTTGGTTCGGTGACTCTCGAGTCAGGTAACAAGATCAAGTTGTAAGGTTTCAAAGCTTGAATGATAATACCCAAAGAACGCAAATCAACTGTCCCGGACAAATCCACATATGCCAATCCACATCTAATTTTCAATTGTGTTCTAGAATTAGGTAGAGATTCCACTGGAATTCTCTTGAGTGGTTTAGATAAAGTATCTAAGTATTTGTGCAATAATTGTTGATTGACTTGTTCTTGAGGCGTGAGTTTATTACCAGCAGCAGCAGCAGCAGCAGCATGCTTGTTGTTATTATTATTATTATTATTATTGTTGTTCTTTCTATCACCCCTATCACCATCGCTTCCATCACCTTGTTGCCTTTTGCCTCTTTGTTTCTTTTCGTCAAATTTTCTCTTGCCTTCCATAATAATTTTACTATTGGAAACTTCGTCTTTCTTGGTGAAATCATTGACATCAATGATTTGTCCATAATCATCAAATTTCATACGAGATGCAATTGTTTGGGGGAAATATGGAAACATAGCTTGACGAGGTTTAAACTTATGCGTGATTCTTATATCAATAGGTAAATGTTTTTCAAGGCTTTGTTTTATATGATCCATAATAAAAGCCTCGTGTTGAATAAGCTCGTCAACCTGTTCAACCGTAGGTGGTTTACCATCAATTCTCTTTTCCTTCTCCACTTGTTTATCGAAAATCTCACCCACTCGTTTACCGCTCGGGAAAAGTCCTACTTTTCCATTTTTACCACTCCTTTTCCCATTTTTCTTTCTTTCCTTTTCATTCTCATCGTCGTATTCCTCGTCCTCATCATCCTCATCATCCTCATCAGAGGAATCGTCGGCATCAATATTATCTGTGTTTAACAAATTTTGAATCTTTTGATCTCTCACTTTTGTAATCAACTTTTCTTTCCTCTTTGCCGTTATTTCGTTTTGAAAATCAACCAACTCCTTGCCAGTAAGCTCTTCTTCCAAGGTCCACTTGTCCACTTGAATAATTTCGTCTACAGGCACAGCAACGCCATCGGTGATTTTCCCTGTTTTCTGCTTGGCCAAAGTAGCCCAACTGTTATACAATTCGTTACTTATACCACCATCGCCAGATGACGATGACGAGGAAGAAAAAGATGATAATGATGATGACGGTTTTTCAGTCAATATTACTGTTGTTTTTTCATCATTACATAAATACAGAAACACTTTACTTGAAAGATCTCCATCTCTTAAATCCTCACCCAGACAAAAAATAATCTTGGGTCCCATCATTGACATTAATTCCTGTGGATCCAATAACAAGTCAACTTTATTGGGATTAAACGGGAGTGTATAATCCATAGTACTATTAAGCGACCTATGGAAATTCAGTGACATCCAATCTAGTAAACCTGAGGCATAGCTTAAAACTTTTGTACCAGAATAAGACAAGAAATAAACCGGGATCGGAGCACCTTTCAAGTGCTCATCAACTAAATGAAACAATTCGAGAAATCTACCGGAGATGGACGTGGGTATTATAGCAGCGCCACCATTTGCAAGCGTGGCATCCACCACCTGTAAAAATTTATCACACCGCTTTTTATGTGACATTGAAGATCCGAGATCTGTTGCCGTAATGAAAGCAGTGGGTCGTAACAACAGAACATGAGGATTGCCCGATTGAGAATTAATGAAATTGGCGCTATTTAGTAATGAGTCCCTCGAATGGTTCCATGATGGCGCATAAATCACGCGGTCTATTCTCTTTACTATTAGCCAAAACGTGCCCCCTAGCGAGTGGCCCGAGTTATACGGAGTTAAAGTTATATCACCATGATCACCACTGCTACCACCTAAAGTGACATTTTGCAAATACTTTACAATCTTAAACTTGTCAAACCAATTATCAATATCGTCTAGCTCAATGAGCGAGGTAAGCAAAGGCCCTAGTATTCCTCGGGATCTGTAATACTCAACAGTGGAGATTCTACCCAACTGATTCACCGGCAAGGTTGAGTAAACAGGGATTGTCAGCATAAGCTTAGGATAAAAGACACATAACAAGATATACCCACTGATAAATTCGCTAGTCGAATGAGATAAAATTATTGCATTGAGTTGCTTCAAATGAGGTTCAATGACCTTGACTAATTTCTCGAGATGGGAACCAACATCACTGCAATCACCATCACCACCACCGTTCCATGAAGGGTCAGCCAAAATTTGATGATGCTTATCAAATGTTAAAAGCGACGCCCTAAACGAATACCCATTCTCCTCCGATGTCAACAAAGAGAATGTGAACATTTGCTAAGCTAAAAAGAAACAACAACTGGTGAATCATACAAATGTTGAAATCAAACATGGCAAAGTTTTTGCTATCAAATTTCAGTGTCGCAAAATCGAGATGTGTCGCAAAATGCCAGGATCGAAAAAGACACTACAATGGTAATAACCGTATCATAATGAGTGATGTTGGTACTATAATGAGTAATAATTGTATCATAATGAGTAATAATTGTATCATAATGAGTAATAATTGTATCATAATGAGTAAATTTATACAAGTATATAATGTAATTCTGTGAATCTAATAACAAGTTGAAGAAATGAATAAATACTACGCCTCGGTTCAATTAATTGAATCAGTTCCAGACTAAAAGCTGGCGACACTGTCGTAGCGACTAATGACACTAGTGACACTATCTTCTCTATCGATAGTGTCGGTGACAGCTAGTGTGCTCTACTATCGAGCGAAGCGAGATGGTGTCGGTGACAGCTGGTGTGCTCCGCTATCTCGCTCCGCTCGATAGTGTCGCTCGATAGTATCAGTGACAGCTAGTGTGCTGCGCTATCTCGCTCTGCTCGATAGTGTCGCTCGATAGTATCAGTGACAGCTAGTGTGCTCCGCTATCTCGCTCTGCTCGATAGTGTCGCTCGATAGTATCAGTGACAGCTAGTGTGCTCCGCTATCTCGCTCTGCTCGATAGTGTCGCTCGATAGTATCAGTGACAGCTGGTGTGCTCCGCTATCTCGCTCTGCTCGATAGTGTCGCGCCTCCTCCTCCTCCTCCTCCTCCATTAGTTTATTCACGAATTATGCTCATACTGTTTCTTGTATGATATTCCATTAAAGTTTCTGCTTGTGTTAAACCGGGAACGGCATGAGTAGTGCTTATTCTCTCTAAAGAATTTCTTGCCGTATGATACTCCCCCTTTTGAATCATTTCTTCCCTCAACACTTCCAACGGTATTTGCTTATGGAACTGGTCACTAATTGTGTTTTTCCGTAATCTTTTCTGCATCGAATTCTTTCTTGAACGAGGAGTACTAACATTGAGAGAACCAGCGCGACGTCGGATTGTGTTAAATGTTCGCTCAAGCTTATTTTCAGAATCATGCTTTTGCTCCTTATATTCATTTTCCATCTTCTCAAATAACTCAGGATCGGTTTTAACAATCTCGCATAATAATCTATGCCTCTCAACATCATCCGCGTCCGTGGGATCATATCCAACTGGATAATCATCGTATTTACCCTGTCTCACTTGCTCTCGAATAATGTCGATATCAGTTGGATGAAAATTTGTTCCTAAAAAGTCAAATGTGAATCTCGGCAATAAACATGCAATAACTCCAATGAATATGCAACACCAAATAGCCAACGTGCCTAGAGTCTGTGCACCACCACGGTAAAACTCACCTGAATAATGACCACCCGCACTCCATACACCTGTCCAAAAGAAAAGCACAAGGATCGACAAGGCATTAATCAATAAGGATAGCCAATCCCATCTGTATTGCTGTAACAAAACATAAAGATTACAAGAAGTCACAGCAATACTCACAGCAGCCACCCCCATCAAAAAACGATGGTCGATTGTCATACCCTGCGGATTCTGAAATGCTTTATACATCAATAAATAAGGAAACCAAAATGATATAACCGATTGATATAACCCATCAAACATATACCAAACAAATTTATACTGGGACCAGTCCTTACCTAAAATGCCACTAATGTACAATTGTGGCACTAAAAGTGACAACGTGTCACTAACATCTTGATCTAATACAGCCAATACAATAACCGGTAACGAGGTGAATGCCAAATTATAAAACATAAGATACGTGTACTCGTAAAGGTAAGAACCATCAAAATTATTGTAAATTCCATACCAAAAACAAGTAAATGTAAAAACAACATTTTTGTAAAAAAAACATGGTATCATCTCAGCTAATCTCTTGTAATCCCAACGACCATGCACCAAAAGCAATCTGGTGAGATACCTGAATTGTCCAATTGCATAGTCAGATGACATCACAGCTTGACGACCTTCCTTTCCGGCTATACCCACTCCAACATTTGCAGCTTGAATCATAGCAACATCATTTGCACCATCTCCAATAGCCAACGTCATTACTTTCAAAGTGTTCTTCACCGTCTTGACGACTTCGGCCTTTTGAGCGGGTGACACTCGACAACACAAGACAGATTTACATTGCTTACCCAAAAGCAAAAATTTTTCCCTTATTAATCTAACCGATTCATTTGGATGGTCATCCAAGTTCTGGAAAATAAGGTTTAATGCGGCACCATCAATGATTAACGCAAAACGAGAATTTGGAGTAGAATGGTCATTTTTGGCCCTTTTGACTAAACGACGAATCTTTTCTGGAGTCAGCACATCTAGTTGGAAATTTTCTTGTAGATACTTTGAAATTTCGTCATTTAGGAAATCGACGCTTTCGGGTTGTGCTTCATCTGGTCGAACGACAAGTAGTTTCATCTCATTTTCCAACAAGTTACAAGAGAAACCAATATTTATTGCAGTTTCAATTCGGTCACCAGTCAAAACCCACAATTTAATACCAGCTTGACCTAATATCGATATGGATTGAGGAACACCTGATTGTAATTGATCTTCAATTGCAGTACCTCCCAAAAGAACCAAATTGTTTTCAATTTCATTCTCCAATTGCTCAATCAATACATCCCTATCTTCGTCAATCGATGCATTCGCCTCATTGTACCTTTTGGACCAGTTGTTATACCATGCAGGATTCAATCTTCGTTCAGCAATACACAAAGTTCTCAAACCCTCGTTGGCATAATCTTCCAAATATAAAGCGGTTTTACTAACAACAGGATGTGGGTTTTTTGTAGGATCTAACCTTTGGAAAATTACATTATCTGCACCTTTGGTGAGCAAAATGATTTCATCTTGGGGTGTTTTGACAACGCAAGACATCTTCTTTCTTGCTGATGTAAATGGTATAACATCCAAAAGTTTAAATTCCTTTTCTTTACCATAAACGTCAAGGACTAAAGAGTTTCTCAATCTTTCTTTGAAAACAATCCCCATATCCCTAGCCACCGAGACCAAAGCTGCTTCGTCGGGTGACTCGGCTTTAAAGTCACGTAATGTTGGGTCTGACGCGTTTTCTTCAGTAACAACGGTGTGACATAACGCCAAGGCAAGCATGAATTTTTCATTGGCTTCTTTCTGTCCATCAGTATCACCACCAAAAGGACTCTCGCTAGACTTGATACTAGAGCTAGAGCTAGTCGCAGTGTCAGCACCAGCACCAGCACCAGTGCCAGCACTAGAGCTAGAGCCAGGAGCTAGAAACGTATCCCTAGCATATTGGCTTGAAACAAATGAGATATTTTCCTCACGAAGTTGATCGTTGTGTGAATATTCTTGCAAGATCTTCAACATCTCATCCTTATCCTGAGCAATTTTGATTTTCCATTTATTTGCTTTATCAATTACATCAATTCCTCTTCTCTTATCGAGTCCTTGCTTTGCTTCTGTGTACGCCAATCCATAAGATTTCCCATTTATAGTACATTTCCTAAACTCCATTACATTTCGAGTTAAAGTGCCCGTTTTATCGCTGAATACGAATTCAATTTGTCCCAAATCGTCTGAAATATTCCAACTTTTTGGCACGCACGGGAAATCCAAAGGAGCATAGTACATTTTAACATCCGAATGGATGAAAAACGCTTGAATAGTTTTGATAATTTCAATGGAAATGTAAAGTGAAATAGGAATCAATGATTGGTAAATAATCAAGTTGACGAAAAATGCAATGACTCCGTTGACTGCTGGAGTAGATCCATATGGTTTCCCATCAAAAAACACTCTTGAGTTATCATCAGCTCGGTAATATACACCGTTAATAACACCTGAAACAAAGGATATTATGAATACCAAAAGGAAATTGATAACCACTGACAAGTTCAATTCTCGAGCGATACGTGATTTTTTAGTTGGAGTGATACCAGCATTAAGCATGATTTTGGTTTCTTCACCTGTATAAACAACAAGACCCACCACCCATTTGGTATTTCTCAAAGTTGTACCTCTCAATAATACATTCTCTGGAGTAATTGCTTCTTTTTCATCTTCATTTACCAAATTGCCTTCTCCATCATAATTCTCGTAATGTATTGTTCCTTTAAAAGTGTACAAATGTGGATTTGGAGCATCACATTCCACCCAAAACTTAGTATCGCTCAAGTCATCAGAATGTTTGAGATTATTGTTACCACCACATTTCAAAGCTTTCCTTTGCTTCAAGTTTGTTTCACCATCGAGATTTTTCGTCTCAATGTAGCAATTACCTTCGAGGTCCGATGAGGAGATAATTATGACATCAGCAGGAACTTCTTCATTTGCTCTAATTCTTATCATATCACCAATGTGAACATCTTTCCAGCATCTATTTTTGAAATTTGCTCTACTCATTTCTGCATTGTGGCTGTTTTCTTCTTTGAGCTTAGGATTGAGTAGTGAGTTGGGTAGAGCTTTTGTTGTTGATGATGATGCGTGAAATGATCTTCTCGGCTGATATTGATTTGATTTCCTCCTTTGCGACTGCATACTTCTCCTTGGAGATTGCATACTATACCTAGGATGATCTGAGTGTAAGGTATAATCAGAAACAACCGTGCTTACTCTACGCAAGGCCAAGTCGTTTTGGTAATTTTGTTCCTCGATATACATTTGCTTTTGTCGCTTGCTTCCGCAAATGTATATGCAACTCTTTTTAACACCTTTGAAAAATTTCCATGTACCTCGAGTACAAGCCTTTTTAAACCTCCTCCATGGACCAACTATATCTGACTCGACGTTGGGGTTTTTAACTCCTTGCATCAAATGTATAGGACTATTATTCAACTCCGCGTCTAAGATTACCCTTCTGTAATCTTCAAAAGCGTCTTTAGCTGCCGTTATACAAACAATCACAATTAACGGAACAGCGGCCAAACCAGGTGACGGGACACCAAATATTTGAAATGCACCCAATATGACAATCAACAAGAAGTAAAAATTTGCCAAATTTGTAAATTGATAAATTAGATTTTTGGGCAAAAATGATATCGGCGTGTACTTTGTAGTTCTGATCTTATTCCTGGGGTATTCTATAATGGGGTGCCCCTGATCGTCTTGCATACTTTGGGGCAACTCGTAGTTGAAAAATATTGTTCTTGGTATGCGATCGTAAATCTCTTGCATATACTGCGGTCTATCAGCTAAACTATGGAGAAAAAGCCATCGCTGTATTCTAGCCTTGAAAGTTGGCGGTTTAGCATGCAACAAATCCTGAGCCGTGGCCCTTTTCGAGTGCTTTGATGCTGTACCATTGCTACTGCTACTGCCACTGCCACTGCCACTGCCACTGCCACTGCCACTACCGCCGGCACCCCTGCCACTATAATTGTTAGTGGTACCACCGTCTTGAGAACCAGTAGTAGACGAGTTAATCTCCTTGGAATCGTCCTTTAAATATACCAATGACGTTTGGTTATTCTTGAAAATACCTTCGTCTTCATGATGAAAATCTGACATAATTGTCCAATACAAATAAAAACAAACCGCTCAAGATGCAACTGAATCTCAATGCAAAAGTATCTTGTTTTTGTTAGCTCAGCCCTCGTGTAATCCTGCTATTCTTTGCTACTTACCCCCCCTTTATTTCTATCCTATTGGTATTATTACTTTCAAAACCTTCTCCGTGCGGTATTTTTATATTTTTCTTTGCTCTTGCTTTAATTAGCCGGAGAGATTACGGCGAGAAAAGAAGGTCGGATTGGTACGGAAAAATGGTAGCTATGGCGGTAGAAATGGGTCGGCCGAGATGGGGAAAAATAAAAAAAGGATCAAACAAAAGACCAGAGATGAAGTAGATATGATACTATTGTTGTTGTCCTCTTGTCCTCTTGAATATCTTTTGACCAAATTTCGTATCATCCACTTGGAATGGTTGAAAGTGTGAATTTCTAGTCAACAAAAGTTAGAGTGAAAAGAAGTTTATTATTTGACGATGCAAGGTGGAAAAAGGGGATACAAAGGTAAGGTATAAAAAGGGGATACGCGGCTATCTTTTGCCTCCACCAGTTGGCTTTGAATTCATTATCAGAAAAGCCAATGAGTATATTATCAGAAAAGCCAATGAGTATCTACTGCAAGAGTATCTACTGCTAATGAGTTACCTGCATTTGATTATAACACGTGGCAAGCCTCATTTTAGACTCTGATATAAAAATGCATAATTCGGCCGGGGTGGGAAAATCGGCGATTATGCAAAAGGATCTGATTAGATCTTATAGTGTTGTTGCGGTTGTGTACTACTCAAAATTTATCCGAGAGTAATTTGTTTTCTTGAGGTACACTAGGGAGCGTAGCGAGCTAGTGGAGCAGTATGCAATCAAACCCGTGTGTCTTGTGGACAAGCAAGGATTAGAGCTTGAAGAGCCAAAATAGGTTTGCCGTGACTAGTCAATAGCCAAACTCAAATCAGTATTAAACACTAGCCTACTGATAAACAGCATCCTACAAATTAATAGCATCTTAGAGCTACCTATCCCGGCCTTCTATATTGTACACTATTCTACAGAGTTAATTTGGTCGACAAACAACATATTGAACCAGTTATAGTTGACAAAAACTCCAATTGGGCTTCTCCTTTCTCAAGGAAAAGACCAATTAGATAATACTTGTCAGACAGCCACATATACCCACCTAAATCCAATTTCCTCACAGAGGCATAAAGCAAATAGGTAAAGATCATTGCTCCTTCACATCCTTTAAAGAAAAAAAAGAACGATTTACAAGGCTAAAATAATTAGATAACTAGATTATAAAAAAATCATAGTTAAGCAAAAACTTGTATTTCTCACTTTGAGGGTATATGGGTAATCATAACTCATCAACCAAGTTGGATTCAGTGGCTCTTTTGAAGAGTCAAAGAGGGACG